TGACATTGTGTTGGAAGACGAGGCTGCATCCATACCATCTCCAAGGAGGTCTCCAACGCCGCAGCCGCCACCTCCAAGGAGGCCTCCAACGCCACTGCCAACACCTCCAAGGAGGTCTCCAACGCCCCCCCACCCCCGCCTACCAAGAAGCCTAGCAAGAGGCCAGCCCTCAAGCGAAGAACCAGTCCCTTTTGCAAAGAAAGCCACCGTGAAACCAAGGGCTATTCCCAAAATAATATCTCGAAGAGAAGGAAGAAGGAACTGATGCATATAAAAAGACATGTCTAGATTCTATGACAAACTTAAAATGAATCAAGAAGCAAGGAGAAACCCGGAGAAACCGTACTTCTTCGTAGCTCCAGATATTCTAAGAAAAAGGTGACTTCTTAAAGCAACAACAAATGGGAATCTCGTAAGTCCGTCCAAATCAACGTTATCAGACTATGACCGCACTCTCACCAAGTCAATTGAGGCGGCACAGAAAAAGAAGCGGGCAGGGAAAGGAGTTGCCCAACTCGGACAACAAGCGAACCAATCAATCCCCCGCTAGTTGTTGGTAATGAATATGGTTCGAATTTAGGATTAATGCATCGTGCAAACATACCTACGGATGTCGATTTGGATCACCTTGGTGAATTTCTTGATGAGACCGGTCTCGACCTTTACCAGATGTTTGGTGATGGAAACATTGAGAGTGCTTGGCGGAGGTTGATATTTGGAAGAAAAAATTTGTACTAGGCGAGTCTATACAACCCTTAAGCCTTATCTCGATCTGGGGACGCAAATGTACCTGCTAAACAAGTGGTACATGCAGGCGTCTACCAGTGGAGACTTCTGCGTTGGTGTCAGAATTAGAGACGAACATTGGTTCCGTGGCGATGATGTTATGTATGTTGACTTTGCAGAATTTCATCAACTATGCCACCTGACCTCTCTGGACAAAGTTATCATTAGCTGCTATTGCCTATAAGTAATAATTCTTTTGATCTATTATTAAACTCATCATATGTGTGTATATGTATATAAATTATCCTAACAAGTACTATATATATGCAGATTTACAATGACAGAGCTCAGAAAGGAAGGCTGCAATGAAATTGGTTTTGTTGATCCCCATATAATATTCAAAGACCCAATTACTCCAAAGACTAATTGGAAGTCTGAGTCAGAGAGTAACCTCATGAACTTCTTAGTGAACCAACGCCACAAGAAGGATATACTCTTTCCCTATAACTTCAAGTGAGTGTTAATCATGTCGATCATATCCTTAATGGCTCATATGTTGATTCTAGTTAATTAATGAGTGTTATGCGTTATATCCTATAAACACATGCAGCAATCACTGGATATTGATGGACATCGATCTGGTGAAAAGTCACTTGATAATCTATGACTCGATGAGAAAACCACAACAAGACTACCAAGATATGATAGATATTATCCAGAGGTAATTTTGGGATCTCTAGCAACTATATATACACACAAACATGATGATTAACTATATCTGATGACGTGGCAAATTTTTTATTGGGCAGTGTTTGGAAAACCTTTATTGAGAAGCAACACATGAAAAAATGCAAAGCGCCACTGAATGTAATCCCTTTGAAAGTAAGTCCCCTAAATCGCATCATCTTTATTAATTAAACATATAGCTTTCACCGGATCACCAGATTGGATGACAAATCTTTTTCTCGTAAAGTGGTGTCTGAGGCAGGAACAGGGGAACAACTACTGTGGTTACTATGTTTGCAAGTTTATCAAGGTGCTCTCCCAAAGAACTCCTACAGAGAGACTCAAAGTACGTACAAAGTTTTTCTTAATTCATCCTCATTGGAAAAGCTATGAATTTATTTGAGTATGACAACTATTTCTAGAGATAGGCCACCTTAAATACCACGTTCGAAAATTAACTTCGAGGTGTGCTTTGCAAGATGCTCCATCTCAAGAAATCCCTGATGTGTCCATTGTAGGGTCACCTTAGAAACCACGACCCTAGAAATCTATTTATAAAAGGCGGTTTGTTAGCTGGCCCCCTCTAATTTTTTTTTTGAAACGGTTGATTTTCTAAACCACATGTGAAAAAAGAAAGTCTCGTACTATAACTCTGTTTATGTGTGGTAGTGTGTCATTCTCTTATTTTCTCAATCACCAGGATATCGAACGGATACAAAATCATTTGCATGCATACTCACCCCATACACATATCCTGTGTGATCACATATACAATCATTACCCTCTCTCTCTCTCTCTCTCTCTCTCTCTCTCTCTCTACACACACACACACTTTGTGTGTAATAAAAAGGTGGAAACAATAATATTTTGAAGCATAGACTTGGTTCTTTACTAAATGCTTCTCATTCCCCATGCTGGCTAGGTGTTATTTATAAGGTGCAAATATAATTGTTGTTGAAAAAATAGTATTAGTTAAGGTTTTTATAACACTACTAGAAACTCGAATATTTCTGTGGGTGATGAATTTTTCTGTGTGTTTTTTTCGACACACACAGAAAAATTGTAATTTTTCTGTCGGTTTCAAAATATACCGACAGAAAAATACGAAAACCCACAGAATAATTATATGATTTTTCTGTGCGTGAAAATACACACACGGAAAAAATCAGCACTCACAGAAAAAATACAATTTATTCTGTCGGTTCTTTAAAAACGCACAGAAAAATACATGCACGCACAGAAAAAATCGTAATTATTATGTGGGTTATTTTAAAACGCACAGAAAAATTCAAACCACCACTAGGAGCCCCCTCCCTCCTCCTCCTTTTGAACCCCAGCGCCCCTCCCCTCCCACCTCCCTTCTTCCTACCCAGCTCCCCCCACCCCTCCTCCGCACCCGAACCCTTCTTCTTCCTCCGCACCCGGACCCCAGCGCCCCCTCCCTCTCCCGGATCCGGCGGGCTCGCTCCCTCCCCTCCCTTCCCTCCCTCTCGCCCAGCTCGCTCCCTCCCCTCCCTTCGCCCCAGCTCGCTCTCTCCCCGGATCCCGCCGGTGGCCGGCCCCTCCCCTCCCTCTCTTCCCGGCGCCGGCCCCTCCCTCTCCTTCCCCGGCGCCGCCCTCTCTTCCCCGGCGGCCGGCCCCTTCCTCTCCTTCCCTGCCGCCCCCTCTCTCTCCCTGGATCCGGCCGCCGCGCCGCCCCCTCTCTCTCCCCAGATCCGGCAGCCGCGCCGCCCCCTCTCTCTCCCCAGATCCGGCAGCCGCGCCGCCCCTCCCCTCTGGATCTGGCCCCGCCGCCTCCCTCCCTCCCTCCCTCCCGGATTTCCCCGGATCCGGCCGCCGCCGCCCCTCCCCTCTAGATCCGGTCCCGCCGCCTCCCTCCCTCCCTCCTCCGGATCCGACGCCGCGGCATGGGTGGTGGTGGAGGTAGTGCGGGCTACCTGGGCGGCTCGAGGGGCGGTGACATACAGGAGAGTATGGGATTCGGCAACCATGGCCGGATCCGTCAAGGTGGACGGCGACTATGGCAGCCTCCAATGGATCCAGGTGGGTATCTCAAGTGGCAAGGGTTGGTGTCTGAAGTGTTTAAAAAGCTAATGGTGTTGATGTGCAGGCAGAGGACTTCATAGTTAAGGTAAAATATATGCAGTGATAGTAATGAATATTATGTGGGCTATGTTGGTACAGACACTTTACCATTAGTCAAATTATCAGTGTTGGCTTCATTCCATTCCCCTGCTCTTTTGGTCTTAATTATCTGAAGCAGCTAAGCACTGCAGTTTATCCTGCTTGGGACTGGTTAGAGTAGGAAGAAAAAGAAGAGGTATAATCTGCTGAGATAGACTGATATATATTTTGTATCTGAAATTCTGAACCAATGTTCCTAGTTCCTACTGCTTTCAAAAAACCTGGACGGACCATATGTGTGTGTGTGAATTTTGATCCCATGCTGCTTTGCTCGACTAGAATTATTGGCTTTGATGTGTGTTTTTGAGCAGCATACACAAACAATTGCTTTTCAATAAAAGCAGTGTGTGTTCAGCCTCTTTCTTGCATTTGTTTAATGCATCTTTGGTAGGAATCGAAAATAAAGGGAGCAATGACTCAGCATTTGTTGGTTAGACCTGCAATACTCTGTCATGATGTAAAGCAGTATAGTGATTGTTAAGTCAGGGAGCTGAAGTACCTTATTTTTTGCATTTTCTGCACCAATTTACACGTTGCATATTAAATTGTCTTGCTAACATGCACATGGGGTCTAGGAGACTCGGAAACTGGCAAGAATGTTGAGATGTATTCGTTTGGACAAAGATTCATAAAAAGCTCATATTGACCTCATTTGTAACCCAGTTCAGATAGTGGATCCATATGAATACTAACTTCGATTTGTTTATCAGTCTAATTCATTTGAATGTTCCACACTGGTTTTGTTATGGACATCTTGTTTCCCAAAATCTCAGTAAATATGAAACAGAACATTTTGTTTGTTTGCAAGCGTTTGGACTTGCATGTATACTTGTCTTTTCTTTTTGTACACCGTTCAATCTGTTATGTATGGATGTAATTTCATCTGTCAACTTGATATGAACGGGTGCAATTACACATGTTAATGCAGTTCCAATATCATCCCCTTTTGCCTACCTTAAACCCATTCCCACTATTAATGCTTATGATGTGTCAATGTCACTTGGAAACATAGAAATGTGGTTGATGATGTCTATATTTAATCAATAGTGAGGTTGGCCTTGAGTTTTAAGTTCATCTTTTCTTATCGATCAAGTGATTACATGTATGTTGGAGCAGCGCTTGCCTGCCTCCACCATTCACGTACCTTGTGACTTTTTTTTGTTTTGTACTACTCTTGAGTGGCTATGATGAATCAAGTTTCCATTAGAGAACTTCTGCACTTTAGCACCTTATGAGCTGGTACTTGGGATATTTTGTTCTGTTTGCTGCTTAACTAGGATGGCTTGTACCAGGACAAGCAACCAGTTCTGTGGCCAGTTCAATTCCCATTAGAGAGAGAGAATTAAATTAAGCTCCAGGTGAAATTAAGTTGCAGTTGTCATGCTGATAATGGGTAAATCTGAGCCATTTCTCGAGTTCTTTTGCTCTTGTTCTTTTGCTCCAGGTGAAATACTGTTAATCCAGGAATCCTGTAGTGCATCAGTGTTATCCCATGGACTTTCATTTGATTTCCCTGTATTCCATGTGTCTGATTCTTTTGGGACTTTCAGATGCTCATCAGACTCCATCTTATCTTTCTCACCCCAACTGGATCCTGCATTAGACTTGGCATTTGGTCTTCCAATTCCATCTCCAGCATTTCCAGTTACCATCTGCCTTTTTTTTGCCCCTGGCATTTCCAGTTGCTGAGATGCTCCCAATTGCCATGGCCATCATCAGACTTCTTCTCTCAGGCACCATCACCTCCATTTCCTTTTCTTTTGTCCCATGTATTTTCTGATTTGCCCCATGGGTCATTTTTATTTGATGCCTCAGGAGTGCTGGACTTCTTCTCCCCATGGGACATTTTAAAGCATGGTTTGGTCAGCCAGGAATCATGATCCAAGTTGATTTGGCTAACTGAATTGCAAAACTATGTTCAATTGTGGTTGTGAAAATGTAGAATTCACTAGTTTATTAGTTTGTGGTACTTTTGGAAAAGTATTGTGGCACTATAAGTGAGGTAGCAGTAGCAACCTTCAATGTCTGCATGGGTGGCGGCCCGAGGTTTAGGCGGGTTTTTGAGAGCTGGAGGCTCCGACTGTGATCAGGGGAGCCATGTCGTCTCTTAGCAGGGAGCTGGTTTTCCTCATCCTGCAGTTCCTCGATGAGGAGAAGTTCAAGGAGACGGTGCACAAGTGAGTACTCGCCATGATCATGAATGGGGTTTTGGAGCCTTTCTTTGCTGGGTGAGCTGGGATTTCTGATGCTTTTTGCGGTTGCCCGTGCAGGCTGGAGCAGGAGTCGGGCTTCTACTTCAACATGAAGCACTTCGAGGACCTCGTGCAGGGCGGCGAGTGGGACGAGGTGGAGAGGTACCTCAGCGGCTTCACCAAGCTGGAGGACAACCGCTACTCCATGAAGATCTTTGACATCCGCAAGCAGAAGTACCTCAAGGCCCTTGATAGGCTCTAATCTGTTAGCTTTAGTTTTAGGTATAATATGACTCAATGATGCATGCTGGTACTTTACTCATCTTGACTGAGACTTGAACTTTGAGATGAGATGGTAATGCTTTTGAATGTATTGATGCCGGATCATTTGAACATCATCTATATGTAGCCCGGATGTCATTAATGAATGTGTTGAACATTTGGATCTTTATATGTATGCTATCTATTATATTTTTTTTAATTTGGGCGAAATGAATTTTTCTGTGAGTTCACCTAGACCGACAGAAAAAAACATGTGTGTTTTCTGTGTGTTTATTTTTTTTTCTGTGTGGATTAACACACAGAAAAATTAGTTTTAATCTGGGCGAACATAATTTTTCTGTGCGTGTGAGACCCACAGAAAAATTGTTTCTGACGGTGAACCCACAGAAAAATTAGATTTTTCTGTCATTATATTTCTGTGGGTATTTTTTCTGAGGGTACACCGTCAGAAAAATATTTTTCTGATGGTATTTGAATTTTTCCATGGGTTTTCACACCGTCAGAAAAAATCGAGATTCCAGTAGTGTAATGTTGTAAAGTGCCTGCGAATGGTATATAAATTAGCATCTTTACATTAAAGTTTTTTTTTCTGAGAATTACACAGTACAACATAGACGTCCACAACAAACACGCACATTCACCCCTATGAACACACGTACGTAAATCCTACCTCTATGAGCACCTCCGAAGGACTGAGCCGACAGATTTCGAGATTCATCAAGTCACCACAAACATCTCGCTGTCGACGAGAACGTCGCTTACCACTGAAAGCACAACTTCATTAAATCCTTGAAAATACGAACACCCGTACCAAGTCGAGGACTTGAACGTAGTTGGACAGGTCCACCACAATGAATCCAACCAATTGATCTATGATCAGTAGAAAATTAACTTCAAGGAGAAAATGCTACTGGTCAGTAGAGTAATCAAATGTACAAATGGATCTTGGTAACAATTAGAGCAAGTCAAAATTAATCAATTTGTTTCAAGAAAATTTCCGTTTTTCTAGCAATTATGAACGACTACTGATAATTTTCCTCGTTCTGTTGTCCTATGTTGAAGCTCCGATTTATAAATAAAAGAAATTAAGGGCACTAGACAGTCTCCGTCCCCCACCACACCAACACACCCAGCCGCACCGGGAATAGGATGTTCATGAATGATGGCATAACCTTGCCTGAACAAAGGGAACAAATCATGAATTGATCTGCGCGTATAGAAATGATGAGTGTGTACGGCGGCCTACTCTAAATTTATATTCTCCCAAACACGCACATGTTTTTCTTTATCGAGTGATGAAAATTTATGTTAAATCGGTTAAACTGTAGGCAGTCTGAGTGCACTGACTTGTTCAGATTACCTGCATGCAGTCATTTCATATATCCTATAGGCCGTGCCCAATAATGCACCAGGTTGGACAACTGTCCCAACCTCCAAGCCAGAGCCATTGCTCCATGTCACACCGAACAACACCATCCCAGAGGTTCCTGCAGAGGTACCGTATGCTCCATCTCACAAAACCCGAAGCATTAGCTTGAGCGCGCATTGGAGACTTAACCGTACGTGTGTGTCCTAAAGACAGTGGTAGGGGTGGTGGCGGGAAACACTCTGAAAAAGTACCGACTCTTTTTGGGAGATTGATTAGTATGCACTCTGCTTTAACTCGGTTCCGTCTACGTAGACTCCGAGGCATACGATTATTACTGCCCGCGTTGAGCCTGGCCTAACGGACAGTGTTAGAAGCTCCTGCACTTTTTTATTGTCAAAGTTAGAAGGACCAATAATTGCAGCTTCTCAACAGAGTATAGAGTACAGTGTAGAGATACTGCCATCGTGATATTCTTGAGATCTGTCAGAAGAACAATTAGGTAAGAACGCACCTTTCTCATATACAGTATATTTGCACTGTGCGTGTAAATGTCATAATCAAAAAGTAATGTGAATGTTTGGAATATATGGCGACTATATTGTACCTTCCATAGCGCATCTTCTATATTTGCTTGTTTGGACAGCGGTGACTCAGACTAAAATGCCTAAACTTTGGATCAAGTTTTAACTAACTGAAACATCAGATTTTAGTATTTTACCATGCCAGAGATTCCTAAATAATTTTAATTCTCGAATACGCAAGTGCATTGCGTATTATTGTATTAAGAAGGTAGAAGTTGTATATTATAAGAGAGACCGTTCCTGACTCGGCGATTATCTACATTTTGACTATAACAACCTTAGGATTCATTGGGATCAACCTTAACTACGTTCTGGCTAATAAAGCTTCCAGGCAATGCGCGCCGGTTTTGATCCATTGATCAGCCTCGGCCTTGACGGTTTGCAGAAGGTCTGTCATCGTGGATGTTGCGCCGTGGAAGGATCTTGCATTCGGTTCTTTCCAAATTTCCCATGAGACAAGCGCGAACAAGGAGTCCATACCCGAGCGTTGATGTCCGTCCCAAAGCAAGCGCAGCCTCCACCACCATACTCTGATGGATGCTGCTGGTTGTGGAAGATGTCGTCGTAGCGCCTGCAGAATGTGATGCCAGAGGTCCTGGGTGAATGGGCATGAGGCCACAATGTGGTCAATCGTTTCCTGCTGCTGGTCGCAGAGAAAGCAACGTTCGTGCGCTTCCAGACCGTCTCTCATCCGGCGGTCCACTGTCCAGTGTCGCCGACGATTCCTAAATAAATTGCAGGTGTTTTAATGTAGGGAAGTTGTTGAAAGAAAAATCTAAATTTTAGTTCAGTTCCTAATAAAGATTTAGCGTCCTAATATAATGTTAGAATCAGAGAGTTTGAATGATATTTTCTTCGAACTTACTTGAGCTATGATATGTTTTTAGAGCCTAGTAGTTGATTTGGATTGGAGAAGCTGAGCCCATTCAGTCAGCTGTGGGGGCAGGGAGCGGATGCCCCAGCGTGGGCCCTGCCGGCCAAGCTCGGGATTGGTGCTGCATCGTCATACACACGCAACTCTATGACAGTGAAAGAGAGTAAGTGCGACGAAGAACCTTCGGTAGACCATGCCTCACCCATGCCGCCCTACATCCAGCGGTAGGGGGGCCTCTGTGTGACCACCGCGACCGTGCCACCTCCTTCGGCGTACCCACCATCAAAGAGAGAGGTGAGATGGGCGGCGCACCCAGGAGATGGACCTCCTCTACCCTACCCACCATTGAAGATAGAGGAGATGGACGCTGTCGGGCTCCGCGCCCCTACTCACCATCGAAGAGAGAGGAGATGGGGAGAGAGAGGGGCGCCATCGGGTGGGAGCGACAACAAAGAGAGAGGTGAGATGGGGTGGCGTCTGAACCACACCTACCACTAGTCCACTTATGTTTTCGTACTCGCATCACGTAAAAGGGTTAAACTAAGGATGGTGGGATGGACTCTAGAAGCATTATATGCTGGTCTAACCCACGTCTAACAACCAAGGTGGAACTAAGCCCTCTGTAATATGTCATTAACATGCACATGGTCCAAATTCGAAACTGGCCTGGATGTGACAACAAGAGGTCCACCTCAGAAAAATAGCCTCTATTTTTAGAGGTGGACCTTTTAAAATGTCCGCCCTTGTTAATTGATTTATAGAGGCTGCAGTTTGTTAGATGCCTCCAAAAATGGTCCGTCCGTCTTCGAAAACCATTGTACATTTTAGGAGGCAACCATATTTTTTTAGCCCGCCTCTGTAAATCAAAGGAGCAGTCTCATAAAATATTTTTCGTTGTAGTGCAAGCAGCCCCTACTCGCAGCCACCAAAACTTGTCGATGAGCACAATAATGCCTCCGCAACGCAACACACACGCTGCACACTTGGCGCTCTAATCCCAACCACACCACAAGATATTATCATGGCTCACGCCTCCCCCCTTCCGTGACGAGTTTGACCAGCAAGGGTGGGTCCAACAACCGAGGAAGACCGACACGCCAGTATACCTGCCACTGGGAGGGTATGGATAAATCTATGCTTATTCATTCATGTTCAAATCTATATCATCATTATCTACTAGTATATTGCTCGTGCTAACGCCACGATGAAATTTTAGGTGATGCAAGTTAACAACCAAACACGGTATAAAATAAAATAGATTGAAGATTTACATAAAAAAGAGAGATTATTATATTATTTATTCCAAAAAGGATCGTACTTATATTTGTGAATACAACAAGGATAATTCATGTCAATTTGTTCATCTATCAGGTAGTCA